AAATTTGTTTGACTCTTTTTTCCTCAGGAGGGTATATGTGTGGAAAAAAAAAATTCACTTTCTATGAGGGTAAAGAGTCAAAAAATTCCAGTCAGGGGTCTATCTACAATAGTAAAACTAGAGGGGTAGTAATTATACAACAACAATAATAAACAGGAGTCTAGTTGCAAATAACCCTATAATTTATGGCAAGTCTGTTTCTTATCCATGATTTCATTTATTTCGCAACACAAACATATTTTCAGGATTTGTGTAAAGATTAAAGATATAATCTTTGACCGTCTGGGCTACAAGTTTATGTAGATAAGATTTACCTTGCACATATTTGGAGGGCAAAGGTTGCATCCATGAGAAGAGATATTGAAATCATGGTAAGGAGAAATCCTAAGCTTTCCTTCCTCATCAACAAAGCCAGGATTTGTGATAATCTTAGAGAAATAGCCCATAAGTTCATGATGTTTGAGGATTGTCTCTATGAAGAAGAGGTTGGCATCACTTAATATCTTCAACTCACATCTGACATGAACAAAAATGTATCATGAACTAACTAAAAGAACATATAAACATTGAAGGTTAATCGCGGATAGACCAATGTAATTCTATAGTTGCAGATGGACCCTTAAGTGGATCTTTTTTTTTTTTTTTGGTTTGAATCTTTTGCCCTCACGAAAAGAGAAAATTGTTTTCTGATGAACAGAACTCCGGAGGGTATGAGAGTCAAAAAAAATTTCACATTGCGTCTTTTAGCAACAATACAAGCAATAATACAAGTACAAGGGGTCTATCCAAAATTGGGGCAATAGTACAAGCTGTCAATCCTCAATTAACCCTTAAAGTTAAATATACCAAGCATGTAATCAATAGACGTGAACTTACCCAAGAGCATAAGCTGATTTGATTGTGCTGATATTGTTTGCATAAATTGGAGCACTTTTCAGGCTATTTGATATATCCTCAATTGATTTTCCTTGTGAATGCAGCTCTTTCATCATCAAATCCTGTAAAAAGAAAAATGAAAGGAAAAGAAAAAACTATAATATGTTTCTGATAGGCAAAAGATATTAACATGTTAAGTTCTGATATCTTATGCATACATACTATGGCAGTGTTCCATGGCATAGTTTTCAGAAGTTCATCGAAGGTTTTGGTGGCTCCAAGATCATCAATAACCCAATTATCGCTGTCACAATCAATAATAGTCTTGTCAAAGTCGAAAATTATGACAACACCAGCCATTGTGTTTGCAAGAGAAAAGAAGCTCTTGATGCAATGTAGTGCAATTCAATGCTTTGTGTGAGTGTGTGAGGATACATTGAGGCCGTTTATATAGGAAACAAGATGCCAAAAGGCTATTATTATTTAGTGCAACGCCCAATCTTTCTTGAGGCTCTCAAATGGACATCCTATTCTTTCCAAAATTTAAGGGGAGCATATAATGGAATATTCTTTATAGAAGTTGTCAATTTTTTGCAGTTATTTGCCAATTAACTGTGACTGAGCTTCGCCTTTATGCTCAATTGTCCTTTGAAGGTCTCTTAATGTTTTAAATGCAACTGTGACAAGAGAGGCAATTTCTCTCTCTTAGGATTTCTAATGGAATTCAGCATCAGCATGGAATTATACATGATATACATCATTTTCAAGCAACACAAGGACATGCCAATCTTCTAAAATTGCTATCCAAACTAAGAAATTGCACCATGGTATTTGATTCTTAATCCTGGAATTAGATTCTATTCTCTTTCATCTTGATGATTATGACAATATTACTAATGGCATTATTATCATCAGGATGGGAACATTATTTTTGAGAGAATTGCATGGTGCATTACTATATGTACCAATTTTATACACCACCTTGTTTCCAAGTTAAGTAAATTAATGTTAAAAATGAAAGACCAATGACTGCACTCATCCTACAACTGATATTATTTGACAAGAATAAACTCACCTCTTTTTTTCGGTTCAACCCATTAAATTCCTCTTTTGCTGCCTCAGAACTGTGAATAATGATATAGTCGTCACTTTTGTGTTCAAATATAAATTTTATGCATGATTGCTCTTTATTAAACCATGAACAATGCATGTACACAATCTATGTCGACTTCAATAGTGTTTTATTTATTTTATTTTATTGAAATTACTTTATGAATCATCATGGTGCATAAAGTGGTACCAGATAATGTTTATTTCTCAATTGTAGGCTCCACCATGGGATATATTCTTGGCAAAGCTGACTAAAAAACTCAATATCAAAAGACTGCAGATTCAAATATTTACGCAGTGAAATCATGCAGCTTCTGACAACCCATGTGGCCAAATAACGACTTACTTTGGTATGTCATTAGATTGAGGAAGATTCTAATTAATGATTAAATTATTAGATCTTGTATGTGTAATCCCACTCTTAAAACAAAAATCCCCCTTTCACTACTTTTTGGTCCATTTCGCTGAAGATTTTATAAGATGGAGGTCTTTTAAAAACAGTAAGAGAAACTCTTGAGCATGCAAAATCAAGCAAATTTTTTCGGAAAATATATTTGCATTGTTTGTAGAATAAAAACAATCGCTACCGTGATGCAATTAAGTCTTAAAATGTATATATCGTTATGAATCTTGCCATTTAGTACAACCATGATACAATTTACATTAGACGAAATGTGTCTTGCTAATGTTTCTTACATTTTAATTTAGTACCTAACCTACACTAATGAACTAATAGGACCTATACAGTACTAAAGGATGCACTAACCTTTAGGTCTCTCTCCAGCCTTTCATCGTTTAGTTGTGCAAACCTTTAAGTCTCTTTATGCTTAAAAAGCATAAAATTTTTCCACTAAGATAGATTGTAATGATAAAACTCTGCAGGTTGGGCATTAAATTTCCTACTAAAGTTTCCAGTATATGAATCATTGTCGCCTTTATTAATCAAGAGACCCAATGAACATCTAGTCTTCCCTAACTTTGGGTCTAGCATGAAGAATTGTCCACTACAACAAAATAGTGGATTTTTATTGTTTGTTGTGCGTTCATCAGTACGCAATAATCTTCCATTTTACCCATAAAAGTTTGTATGATTTGTCAATAGATTGCTTTTAATGAAAAGATATGAAAAGTGTATGAGTGGTCATGATGGATTGCCTTCCGACATAGAGCATTAAAAATCCCATTGAGTCTTAACATTGTGAATGATAGATATACATATTATTGGTAGCAAAATAAACGAGTGTTAGTTGAGATATGCTTTGGTTTCATCAAGTGAAGACGTAAAGAATCCACTGATTCCAAATCTCCTTAGAGGCTGCAAGTGGACTGAGAATGTGAGGTTTCAAGAATGAGAACTACTCTGAATTAATTTTATATCATCCTGTGTGTAGGAAAATGAGTATGCTTCGTACCAAACATCTTGACAGGGCAATATACCGATGTAAAAATTTGTACCATCATTCATATAATTCTCATTCTGAGACAAATATAATCCTTTTCTCAGTATATTCCGATATTGTAAAGTTCAAATTTTGTTTCAGTTTGCTCTGACAACAAGTTCATAAATAAAAAACACTACAAATTCCTCTTTTCCCTCTATATTTCTGTAATTTTTCCCCCTGTATCTATCTTCGTGAGTCCCAGAACTCACTGGATCATCTTCTTTTCGTTCTCATCATCATCATCACTATACTCACTGTCATAATCTTCATCTACTTCTTCAATTTCCTGTTCAATGCTCGTACTTTCATTGGCCTTAATATCTCGGTTCTTTTTAAATACCTCTACCTTTATATCAGTCTTTACATCACAACCAATCCATGAATCACATAAACAGTATGCAGTAAGATTGTATGTTCCTTCGCCCGGAGCCAAAAGTTTACCAATAACCTGCCTTGATCCGTTCTTTACTTTTTCAGCAACAAACTTCACAGCTTCACTAATTTCTTGATCAGTCGCTCCCAATAACTCCTTCATCCTTGCAATCAACTTTTTTGCACTCCTAACTGCAGAATCCTCATCCATGAAGTTCACTTTCTGAGAAATCCAGACTTCATTCGTTGCTGAGTCAGCAAGGATAAGGTAGTAATTTTCCTCCTTGTAGAATGGATAGTAAGGAGAATGGGGAAGAGAGGATTTTAGGTTGTTTCCACGCTTGAGATTAATCCAAGCGTACATCGTGGTAAAGTCGCCTTCTTGAATTTCTTCCTCTCCTTCAGTTTTCAGTGAGACTTCAAGTGTTATGGATGGCAATGACTCGAGCACGATCTCTATGTCATGTACTTGAGTTAGTGAAAAGCCAGCAGCCTGAGATAGGAGTTGGGATCGTTCTTGCATGCTCATGTCTCGGAGTTCTTGAAAGGTTTGCACTTTCTGAGAGTACAAAATAGGAAGTTAAAATATGAGACAATAAATTAAATATTGATATTAACCTCTTTTGTATCATTGCTTTGAGCCTACCAGTCTACAACCTCTCTAGTCTAATTTTTACAGATAGACCCAACTGAATATTTTTACTATTAACCCTCAAAGAAAAGAAAATTATTTTTGAAAAATAAACGGGTAAAGGAGTAAAAAAAATCTCACTCAGGGGTCTATCTGCTACAATAAAACTAGAGGGATTGTAGTTTCCAAGGGATGATACAAGAGGGGGTACATCCACAATTAACCTAAATTAATTACGCAAAGAACTGCACTAGAAAGAAGCCGTATTGTTTATACATAGGATAAACAGCATGAGGGCAAAAAAAATCGTGATGTTGATCCTCAAGGAAACTTTCACCAGTTGTTCACTGTTTGTATAAATGAATTTGGTAAAGCACATGAAGAGATGTAAATAAAGACTACATTCAGTTTTATGCAAACATATAAAGAATGCGTAGCATGTGATCTTTCACTTGTGGGCAAAAAAAAAGAGGGAAACTACTAATTTTGATGATGATGAACACTGTAGTTATAAGTACAACAATCCAAGCCATTGAACAATTCTATAAAAAAGACATAAATGTCTACATGTTTCTTCAATTGAATGACAATTTAGCCCTCAATAATGATATTGAATTCTTTCACAAGGGATATATGGGCAATACAGGGGCTTACCATAAATCCTAGAGAACATAAATCATATGCAAAAGGATCAAGACTTTATTTAAATTTAATACAACATAAAGCAACCCATCAAATTTTCCTATACGAAGGTATAATGTTGTTGAAGATGGAAGATCACAAGGTTTTATACTGATCTTTAAGGGACAAGTACTATGTGAACAGTGTTTCCGGTCTTAAAACCGATGACAAAGAAGAAGTGTTACAATCCCAAGAAATAAGAACCAAGAAAAATTTATAGAGATGGGTTCTTTTCTGTGTGCCGATGGGAGGTCGTTCCTATCTTTTGTTGACGGCCCGACTTAAAGACGATGGGTCTTCAGTTGATTTCTTCAGAAAATGACCTATCGCTTAACTCAAAGAGATTTTTAATGCCTGGTCGATAAGATGAAGCTAACTGATTAGCTTTGATTAGAGAAGATTATATATGAACATCAAATTGAATAAAAGGATGACGAAGCTCATTGTCCAATGTCTTCTTTCTTTGTGCCAAAAGCTTTGCCAATAACTGACCCTCTCTCAATTGCTTAGCCGATTTTGTAGCCTCTTCTCTCCCCTCCTTTTTTTTGTTTTTAAGCAATTCCCTCTCATTTGTAGGAAAAGGAAAAGAGTTGATCATTAAACGTGGGTTAATGGCTATTAAATCGGGTTAGTGGGCTTAACCCCCATTTCCTTAAAAATAGCTCATAAAACACCTGTGAGCGAAATTCGCTGAACTTTGCCAGAATATGGGTAGTAACGGCGATGGGCAAAGTTCGCTCAGCGAACTTTGCTAGAATATGGGTGGAACGGCCATCGGCGACGTTCGCCGGAACATGATTGAGCACCCATTCCTGTGTTTGATGATGATCCACCCTGCTATCTCAATGCATGAGATATCCTTGTGGATACAAAGGCTAGGGGAACTTTGCCAGAACGTGGGTTGCCCATGTTCTTTGAGAAAGGGTTGATGTGGGTGATGTGGCCCACGTAAGCTAAGCAAACATCATTTCTTAACATTGGGTTTTGGCAAAGTTCACTTGGGCCGAGTTCTCTTAGGGCCAGATATAGGCTTGGTTCACATTGATTTAGGCTTGAGCTCAGAGTGAAGTTTACATAAGACTTGAGTGAACTTCACTGTGACCTGGTCAAGCTTAGTTATGGACTTGTATTTAAAATATTTTGATCCGATTCTCAGTGTTTAGCCCTTGGGCGTCTATTTTTTGAGCTCGTGTTGAGCTCGAATATCAAATTAAGTATATCATGAATTGAAGGTACTTTTGAATAGTGCCTTCATATTCTATTTTTAACCTTCTGATGCCTTGATCCACACTTAATCCCCTGGTGCCTCTCATTAATGCACCACCGAGAGGCTTAGGAAGGAGTTAATCCACACTACTAGTGAACCTGCGGCGGAGAATAAAGTCCTCCGTCAATTGGCGGAGATGTTGCTGGCTAAGAAGGTGAATCTAGAGTAGGTCATCGAGAACCAATTGAAGGCATGACACGAGGTGTATGACAAGAGAAACTAGCGGCGAGTGCATGACCTTGGAAAGGACCATTTGGAGGCTTCGATGGCCCCTCAAGAAGGATCATTGGAGCTCCACAAGCGAAGACTCGAAGAGTGACTAATCGGCTTTCCGCATTGGATGTCGCCTACTTTTCTCCCCTTTTTTGTTTTGCTTTTGTTCTTTGTTCCCCTTATCGTTACAAAAGTAATTTGTAAGAAATCTTCTCATCAATGGAAAATGTTATCAGCTTTAACATTGTTTCTCCTTTCACTTTGTATTTCTAGATATTTCTGCCGCCTCATACTCTTGAACGAAGTTATGAATGCCGTTCAATCCATGCTTGAAGCGAAGTTTGCTCACCTTTAGACTAGGACAAAGTTCAGGATTAATGTTTGGGCAAGGTCATCAAGTGAGGTTCACCTAGTGAAATTCATCATGAATTTTGGTGAAGTTCGCTCACTTTTAGAACTTGATTGAGAATAGCTGAGCGGTTAGTGAGGTTCACTGAGATTGTTTCAAATTTCAAAATTTATGTCTTGATTTGTGGCGAGGATTGCTCCTAGGCAAGATTTGGGACGAGATTCGCTCCTAAGCGAGATTGGGGGCTAAATTTTGGGTAAGATTCGCTGAAAGTCTATAAATAGACTAACTCCATGTCTCCCCTTCATCAACTGTTTCAAACCTAAACCCTTCTCAAATTTTCAAAACCCATCTTCATCAATGGCGCTTCGGCGGCAACTCTCCAAGAGCAAGCAAACCGCTATCTTTACAAGTCGACTGAATCCTGTTATCGCGCAGTCACAACTCAAAATGGCTTTAGGTTAGTTTCGCTACCGGTTAACTAAGCTTCGCTATCAATAGCGAAGCTCTCGGTTGTCGTTAATGGCATCCTCGATCGTGAATAACACTTCAATGTCGCCTGAGCTAGTTTCGCTATCGATGACAAAGCTGCTTTTGTCGCCATTAACGGCGTTTTTTAAGAAAACTTCGCTCTTCAGATGAAGTTTGTCGCTTAGCCTTTTGGGCTTCTAGGCAAACTTCGTCGTTAAGTTAAATTTCGTTAGTGCGACCTTCACTAGAACTATATCCCCCAAACTTCGCCAGAGACTGAATTTAGCACATAGTGAAATCTGTATTTGTGTTAGGGCGACTCTCGCTTAAGGCGAACTTCGCCACTGGTTGATTTTGACACTTGGTCAACTTTGGCTTCATATTGTGCGAACTTCACTATGAGCGGTCTAAATCAATCCCTTAGCCAAATATGAGTATAGTGGGTTTCGCTAATAGGCTAAATTCAACGCTTGGTTGAATATCAATTTTGGAATTGATTTAGCTAATTGATCAAGTTGAACACTTAAGACAATTTTGAAATTGACTTGATCAACTGATTCTATTAACCAACGTCATCATGTAGCATTGGGTCAACTCATTGACCTGGTAGCCGCTTTTCTTTTTGACTTGGTTGATTTTGGATGCTCGATCTAGCTTGTTTTCTTTTCCTTGTGCAGTTCCTCTAGCGGATACGCCTGTTAGTCGTTTGAACTATTTTGGCCATAATGGGATTCCAAACCTTGAATTGCCTGATATTTTTTAGGGCACTGCCCATTTGTTTCATAAAGGAAATAGCGGGTCCACATAGACAACATTAGGCACGGTAGTTCTTCTACTCTGAAAGAGATCATCACTGACGCCAAGTTCTCCATTCCTAAAGAAGACAAGTTCGGGAATCATCTTTCCTCTTTGGTGACGCAACGACTGGAGTCAATCGACTATTCAGCCTCAGGAAAGAGAGGTGGTACTACCCTGTTAGTGAAGAACACTTCTATTTGCTAGAAATAGAGTGTCAAATGTCCTTTCAAGACCTAAAACACGCATCACTTCCTGAGACAATGTACTTCCCAATCATCTATGATACGAATAGCGTGATAGTGGGACAATTGAAGCGAGATTGGTGCTTCTTCAAGGATGAACTATATTATTGTAATATTCTAGCCCTTCATCCCAGCTTCGTCCAAGGAAATGCTCCAAAAATGAGACGTCGATTATTGCTAATATTTTTAGCAACAAGTTTGCTGAGATTAAGGGCCAATACCGAAAGATAAGCATAGATTCCCCCAGTTAGGTAAAGTCTCTAGCATCAAAATAGTGGGAAAGGATGATAGAATTTATTGTTAGGTCTAATGTTTATGAGCCTACAATCTAATCTAGTTTTGATGATTAACAAATAATTCTTAACATCGTTTATCGAGTGTTTGTGTTTACTTGTTAGGTATTCTACACAAAGATCATCTATTGGAGGTTGGATGGAATTGCGCGTTCACGATGATATTCAAAGGAGGTTGTAAGAAAATCGGAATGAAGCTTTGCATTTCAAGTCAAGATCCAATATCGCTTCATCCGCAACCAAGACGAACTTAATCGAAGATCTATTGTGTGGGTATAGTATTTTAGATTTATACCTTGCGTGTTAATACTTAGAGCTCAAAAATCATACACACACATTGGTTTTTGATTTATCGCCGTTTTGGATTATAGACTTAACAACACGATTTTATATCTTTTCTCAAGTCTATAAATCTATTTTAAATTGTTTCAAAACTTGTTTAAAAAATTCGTCAAAATCAAGTTTTAACAAGTTCGTATGGTTTACCGATTTGCAAAATAATGTGTTGTGGATTAATGACTTAATATAACTGTTGTATATCTTTTATAAAGTCTATTAATCTATTCAAAAGAAGTTTCAAACTTATTTGAGATTATTTTGTCAAAATCAAATGT